AACCCTTTCGCGAAGCTATAAGAGGAGGCTCGCTCCCGGCAGACAAACAATGGAAATTGCCCAAGTGCTCACTCCTCTCAATATGTCTGTCTTTCTTTCTTTCATTCTCCCCGTCTCTTTCGGCTAGTGCTTTCTTTCCCTCTCATTTCTGCAATTTATTACTGCGGTGTACTGTATTTTGTATCAGTTTTGTTGCCTTATTGACATTGTTGCTTTTGTTGGTTTAAGTGGGCGCGTTTGTCGCTGTTGCTTTGGGGATGGGTGGCGAAAAGGAAGGTCGTCTCAGTCTGCCCGCTTATCTCTGGCGATTTCAGTCAGCCACGCATTGTATGTATGGGCCGAATGTTTTCAGAATTAGCAACCATTACTCTCTTAAGTTTTTAAGCATTACCTTGATATACATACAGGATGTTTGACCCAGCTTTGGTATCTTTTGTATATTGGAAACTGGGATTTATTACTAATACGGTTGCTGATTTTCCCCCAATGATCCATAGACATGAACGAGGGGCGTGCACAATAATTTCAGTATTTAGCACATTTTCTACTGCCCTGCCCTGCTTCTTTCTCTGATTGTTAATGGCTAATCGAAGCACGAGCGCAAAAAATGTATTTTGTGGCTGCTCTGTGCTTGCCCACATTTCATTTATTTTTAGCAACTCCGACGCGTTTCAAATAATCAAAAGCAGGGCGTCCGGAATCGAAGCTATGGATGTGGATAAAGCAGAAGATACGTGCCATCGCGCCACCTGAGGACCAAAGAAATAATTAACATATTTTTGCAAATTATCCATCGTGTCGCCGGGGCTATAAATCGGAGATGTGAGAGATCGGGTGATCGGGTGATCGGGTGGTGATCGCATCGAAATCAAAACATTCGAAACAGGGCATGAGTTATACATTATTCGAATTAATTTTTGTTCGCTGGAGGCTTTTGCACTTTGGCAAGGACGACGACGGAAGTAAACATCACAACATGAGCGAGCAGCAGCTACAAATTGCATTTAAGGTCAACGAGCAATGCGTTCACAATGCGTTGAACCAAGTCAAGTCTCAAAAAATTAAAAAAAAAAAAAAATGGAAGCAGTCCGCTGACGTAGACTGCCTTCGCTGGATGAGTAAAGTGTTGGAGTACAATGTAATGCAGGCTGGTTGAGTCCGCAACTATAACACAAAAATCGAGTAAACAAATTAATAATGGTCAGACTTGGAGGCTATCGGATACCCGCAGCTCATGTTCATATGCACAAATTATTACTTATTGGAAGATGCAATTCCTTGTGGTCGAACCGCAGGAGAAAGCAGAATCTATCCTGTTTTACAAAGCATAGCAAATATAAATCAAAAATAATATGAGTTCCCAGCTATATTTCTTGAATTGGGATTTCACAAGTACTCAAGAGGTATTCACAAAAGCGAGCTCAGAACTTATGCACTGATTATGTACTGAAGCACGTCTTGGTCGAGTTTGAACTTTGGAATGATACTCCTTGGGCACTCTCTCAGTCTGTGCCATTTTTAAGGTCCACCTAAAGCTCATCGTTTTAAAAGTCGATCGGGGCAAATAAACATGCGTGAGGCGAATGATCGATGTTCAGAAGGTGAAGGTGACTTCAAAGGTGACCCTGAATAAGTGAAGGTGGCGCAAAGTTCGCCAAATTCCGACTTACGAGTTCCACTTGTGGGTGAAGTACCGAAATACCGTGGTAATCTGCAAAGCAATCGGCATAGTGAGCAATCTCAGCCCGAGCATTTTACACGTATTTCATCATCTTCCACTTTTGTCTGGTCAAGCAACTTCGCTGCGAATTGCTATTAATAGAAGCGGCGAATTCGCGTTCGACCCAAGATAAGCGCCCCAACGAGGGCGAAGTCATCATCCGGGAAAGCGGATCAGGGGAAATCACCCATCTAAGGGGCAGCTGGTCTGAAGTTGGGAATTTCCAATAGTGAATAAATTCAGGTCAATCGGTTAGCTGACTTTTCGCCGTTGTTTTTGTGGGACTTTCAGTGCAGTCATTGAAGATTTTGTGTTATTATTAAGAAGCATATTCTTTAACTAATATTATTTCATTATCATTATGTTTTCCTGTCCGATATAAAGTATAAAGTTCTCCATAGCTCTCCACTCTCCACCCTTTTTAGCAATATACAAAGTGAATGGCTAATTATTTGGTACCAGATGTACAGACCCATTTATATTTAAACCCATCCATGGCCATTTGAAATTTCGGATGGTCTGTGAAATTATGTATACGCAGTGGGGGACGAACCTACCGCAATGGCGACGGCCCCCAATTAGCAGCGACTATTTAACGGGTAGAGAGCATCCGAGTGCGAAAGTGAGAAGGGGAATGCGATTGCATTTGTTGCTACTAAAAATAACCATAGAACCCCACAGTGCAGGGGGAAAAGGGGGCGGGTCAGACTGATTGGACTTTGATCGAATGCAGTGAGTTTTGTGGGCGTCGTCGACGGTCTGTATAACGGCAAAAGGCCAAAAACAAAGAAGCTTTTTAAAAAAATAAGTGAATAATTTTATCTCCGCTTGGGAAACAGTCTGTTTGGTTTTTTAGCTCGCTTATGCGACGAACTTGGCGAATTTCATCAGCTGTTTTAATTTATGCAAGGAGCCCAGCCGAGCTGATCTTGGGAGTGGATCAGCATCAGAAAAAGTGAAAGAAAGAGAAGTGCTCGAAGAGAATCGATCGCACCGCCAAAAGAGTGTTCAAGAGAACGGCAAAATCAACGGAAAACTGCATGCACATAAAGAAATTACTTACTATTTACATCACTCTTAACATTAAGTGATGAAAACTAAACCTTTCACTGTTAACTGGTTCACTGACTTGACCCCCCTTTTCCCATACAGTCGTTAATAAATTCTTCCGCTCAGGGTAAGGTCGGATCTCCCAGGGTTGGAAGCGCACCGTTTCCGATCCGATTGCGACAGATCGGCGGATCAGCGGATCATTGCACTCGGAGCGAACACGCAAGGTAACTGCACCTTGGGTCAATGATATTCGCTTCCCCCGCCAAAATTTTGGCAGCTATTCGGTTAATTTGTTGTTTTGTTTTATTGTTTCGCGGCTGTCATTTCCATTTCCATTTCAGTCACGGGCATGGCCTTGCCGCCAGAAGTTGCTTGACCTGGAAGTTGCTCACCTCGCCTCGCCTCGCCTGCTGCTCTCAATATCCCAATGTTCCAATATCCCCATCAGGCCTCCAGTCGGGTGTAATGCACTATGATTACAGGGGAGGCCGACTCGGTTACAAATGAAATGTGTATATTGCGATTTTTTGGGCCTTTGTGTTTGCCAAAAAATTCGGTGGAACACTACAAGCCGTGTATTTGGCCAGCTGATTGATTTGGTTTCGATGTTTCTGACAAAGAAGCAGCACACTCATTATAGTATATGACTTCAAGCTAAATCGCCTGGGATTCCCCCAAAACATTAACTATGGCTATTTGGAATTTTTTCCGTCTCCCAACTAACAAGATCTTCGTTTTCAGCTTTAGTCAAGGCTATAATATTGTGTGTAGCGCCATGTTTAGAAAGTATTTCCCAATCAATTGTTGTCAATTTTTTACTACATTTTGGACATCTTTGTTCGTGACGCACTTCGTGAGTAATTTAACATTAATTTATAATTTCTAAATTTTCACAAGTTTTTTTAGTTTAGTTAACTCACAGTGTTCTATCTAGACCTTTTATCGTTGCTGCATTGTTACCTGTTTTTCTTTTATTTATAGGTTTGTTGGACGTTTGCCGAATTGCATTGAAAAGAGGCAAAAAAGATCGGTGATTGCCCAAAAAGTCAGCGACGAAGTTTAATGAACGTTGCGAAGGTCAACGGTGCGTATACTTCATTAGCGATTAACGAAGGGAAGCGTTAACAAAATGGGTGAGAAAAGGAATGAAAGGAGACCGCAAATGACCCAAGGAAGGGGGTGGGGAGAAATGTCGCGTTGGCTAATCGACTTCGCCATATGTTAGCGTGGGATTATGGCCCGCTAACTGCTTTCTGATATTTATTGCCATGCATCCCCATTTGCATGAAGCCCTTAGAATACTCCGACCATCCCCTTGACAGTGGGTCTGTGCCACAGGAAGCTTTTCATTTCCGGCGCTGTCGGAATTTTTAAAATCTATGAGTGTCCAATGCAAAGCAGGAGCAATTCCCATTAAAACCAGGCAATAGGTGAAAATTACAAGACAAAAACGTAAACTGCGAAAAAGAAAAAGGAAAAAACCAAACGGAAGTGCAGCTAACAAAATGCTGAAAACTTGACTTTTTTGCTTCCACAGGAAATGGAATTCTGTGGACATAGCTCTAATTATTTATTTATATATTTTTTACAAAAAGCAACCATCATGAATCATTGTTAACCCGAAAAATCCACCTAACTTTCTGGCCTTTTAAATTAGGCGCCTTTGTCAGGCGCCCTCTATATGGAAAGCCTAAAAGTATGCATAGGTAATGGAAATGAGTTAAGCGCCATCTAGCGACTTAAAGCGGTAACTTGTACTTATCTTGCTCATAACTGCGTTAAATGAAATTAAATTTCTTAACGCCTTTTGAAACCAACTGTAAAAGTCAAGAAGTTAGGAATATGAAAGAAGGCAACTCAAATAAGAACAAAATGAATTAATGGCGATTAAGACTTAAAAATGTGCGTGCGTAAATCGTAAACAATTATGTGCCGACGCTGTTTTCTTCTGCGTATATCAGTTTTTTCAAATTAATATAAGTTACGAGTTAAAACGGTTTTGAATTTCTAAGGATGGAGAATGAAGAACAGCAATGAACATGTGAAAACGTGCGTAAATGTTTCGGCGGTTTTGTTTTGATTCTTATCAAACAGCGAAGCAGACGCCAAAGCATGCGGAGCAATGAAAAATCGAGTACAAAACAAAATGGAAAAAGAGGGAACAAGTATTGCGCCTGCTCCAATAAGAGATTTTAACGCTCTGCCGGTTTCTCTTCTCCCCAATTGGATCTTTCGTTTCGGTTTCGACATGGATTTTATTCGTACGCGAGAGTTCTCTTATGGGTTTCTCTCGTTAACAACCGTTTTAAGAGAACTGTTAAAAACTGAACGGAAATTTTAGAATAACGATGAACATAATATTTTGATCAAAAAGAGCGGCAAAGTAGCTACAGACCAAGAGGAATATGATTAGGAAATTTGAATTTATGATGAATTATCCTAAATTAAAAGGATAGCGTTTTGGGTATGATTGTTATCACACCGCGAAACAGACGCCAAAGAGTGTGGAGCAATGAAAAATCGAGTTCAAAACAAAATGGAAAAAGAGAGAAAGAGCATTGCGCCTGCTCCAATAAGAGCTCCCGTCTCCCCAGTTGAAGCTTTCGTTTCGGTTTCGGTTTCGTCGTGCACTTCATTCGTGAGCGAGAGCTTGCTTCGAACAGACGCCTCCAAGAACGCCCCGCATGCCACGCCTCTATTCGAAAGGCTTTTTGGCAAGAAACACGCGACTGCAATAATAATAACCATATTAAGAACACTGATCAGATATTGTTGGGATTTGCGATCAAATTGGAGATTATTTTCCGTTGCATTCCAATCGGAATTGTATTTTCATTCCGTTCTGTAATCGCGCGCGTTTTTCGTCGCGCCGATCGTTAAAAATTCATTAAGGCTTGTTAATCACCGCCAATAATACAACAAATAATACAAATAATACAAGTAATCGCATTGATTGCCCATAATTGATACTCGCCGTGTGTGAGAGAGTGAGTGCCTGTGTGTGAGTGCGATCGCATCCGCCGGTAAATGTCCGCGCCAAGGGAAACGGATCTGGATCTTCCACGGACTTGATGCCGACGTAGCTGAAGATATATCTCCAGTCCAGCAGTTGGACTCGAAATGTCACGACGCAAACAGTCCAACCCCAAGCCGTTGAATAAAGGTGAGTTAATAGTTATCATATATTATAATATAACTAATTAAAGTACAGATTTTATTATTCACTTATGAAGACTTATAAAGACAATAAAACCTATAAGATTACAACCATAAGTCCAGGTTTTACAATCGCAATAACGATCGCTTTCCATCTGACCGCCAGCTGACCCATTCAAATTCACTCGCTTGGTCAGCAGCTCTCGTTTTTTGGACAGCAAAACATGTGAACGAACACACAGCAAACACAGAAATCCAAGAGAAAGGGGGAAGCAAGCGGGGGGATAAACTGATAAACTATGCCAAGACAAAGAAGCCAACGAATCATTGAAATCAAAACAATAAGAATGATAAAGTCAAGTTTTTGCCGCTATAAGACATCCGATACTGAAATCATTTATTTAGATTATGATTACGTAAAACGACTCAAAAAGATCGGTACCACCAGGGAAAGAGATTAAGCCAGGAAACTGAAAACCATTTTATTATGTACTTTAAATTGTTTACTTTTCATGTGAAGGGTATAAACAATATGTTTATTATAGAAAGGAAGTGCAGATATTGTCAAGTTTCTTTACTCATTTCAATGAAATTTCTTTACCTTTTCGATATCGATATCGATACCTGTTGTACGTGCAGCTGACACACCTTATAAATTTCGTCAGGGACGCGAAGAAAGAGAGAGAGAGTGCGGAGAGTATTAACTAATTACATTTCGTTGTTTGCCATTTGATATATTTATGGCCCCGAACCATTTGACACCCAATGAATGCATTTCGGAATCGAAATCGATAAAACGTGCCGGACCTGCGACACTGGACACCCTAAACACCTGAACTCACCTCAGTTTCCGCCCCTCCCAGAAGCCCCCGCTCGACTACCCGTTTTCCGCTTATCCATTTTGCCATTTTGGACTCCTTATCGCTTTCGCTGCCCTGCTCCAAGCACGTTTCTCGACTGGCTGACTCTGCTCCACCCAACACCCATCTGAACAGAGCCCCCAACAACCCCACAAATAGTCAACTAGTGATATCAGCCCAAGTCATGAAAGTGGAAACTCCACAGTAAGCGGTCGGGAATCTATATCTTGTGCCAAGACTACAGGGGATTTTGGTATACCTTAAAGAGAGACAAGATCTATATCTATATCTATATCTATATATTATATATTTATATTTTCTACCTACTAAGACTTAAACTTAGAGCTAATTATTGGGTACGACCGAAAAGATAAAAAAATTCTTTAGAAGAAATTCTTTAGAATTTATTTATACCTGAAAAGTAAGCAAGTCCCCTTAAACTTAAAACATTAAACTATTTGTGGAGTTCCAGTGAGGGCATTCATATTTTTAAAAACTACTTAAAAAGCTATTTATACTCGAATAGCTACCAAGCTTAGCCTTTTAAACTATTTATAGGGTACGACGAATGGATAAGGTGAAACTTTACCATTAGCTTACGATAATTTAGGGTATTTTTATCGGTGCAGCTGTTGTCCGTTGTTGTTGTTTCACCTGCACTATCAGTGGGTTATCCCTGGGCAACTATCCACCACCCACCTACACCTCCCTACCATTTCTGCTTTGCATATTTATCTCTTGCACACTTGCTTCACTTCTGTCCCGTTGTTTTCTATGGCTTAGTAGTGGGTGGCGGGACGGCGGTAGTGGGAGTTGGTTTTGGAAGGCGAGAAAAAACTCAAAGCACAACTCGATAAAGTTTTATCACAATTGCAGCAGCAGTGGCAGCAACAACAACGAATAACATCAACTGCGTGGCTTTTGTTCGAGGTTCTTCAGGCGTTGTGTTTGTTGCCTTTACATAAGCTCCAATAACTGGCATTTGTATCGCCGTATCGTATAGACCAGAACTAGAACTGTAGGAATCGCGATGACAACGCCCCCGGGTTCGTTTTCGGAATACCCTTTCTATTTAGTTTAAAACTGGGTAAGGTTGGCAGGCCAAAAATTTGTTTGTCATATATATATTTATCATTATATACATTTCTAAAAATAAATAAAATATCCCATTAGTAGTAGCACAAATCTAAGTAAACTAAACACAATAGTCCATCACATACTTCGATGCATTGCAGGGTATTACCATTTTAGCCAGGTCCCACCTGCTTTCGATTCCTATCTCATACCTTTTAGGAGTTTCGAGACCTGAGGGAGTGCAGTCGCACATAGATAAGCGCTGTTGTGAGCAGCCTTTCGTTTTTGTTTTTTATAAATTTTAATTACGCTTATCACTAATTTTATGTTAATGGCCAGCTGTTGGCTGTCGGTTGCTGGATGTTCGCTTGGCTCTTGTTTGTTTGGTTGTCCGTTGCTCTCCGGCAGCCGCAACAAAAGAGGACGCCCATCGACATAGTCATTCCCATGCGGGTGACAATTTAGTCAAAAGTCAAGTCATGTTTGAGTTCTACTCGATTTGAAGCGGGCCAAGCTCTACACTGGGAGAAAGAATGTGTGGTTAACCAAACAATTCTATAATGCTCTGAATTTAAAATAATTGGCACAGTTTTAAGATGCTTTAATCTATTAAAAACCCAGTTTTGCTGAGAGTTTTCCACACTGGGGCCCTATTTCTCATATCTGAAATCGGCGCGGGTACGTGTCAAGCGGTTCGCTTCGCTTTTCGGCGGAAAGGGGGATCTTTATAGAGGGGGTAGGTGGAGCTGCGCTGAGCTGAGCTGGAGCGATAAGAGAAGCTAGCTAACTGTGTATTGCAATTGCAAGTGCAGTTTGCAGTTTGCAGTTTGCATTCGAAGAGCTGCAGTTGCAGCCGCGATAAAAAAGCCAGGGCTCAGGTTGCGAGTACGGTTTGCCCCTCTGCTCACCGCCTCTGTGGCTGTTCTGTCCATTTCAATTGGAAAAGATAATCTCGAGCTTTGGCCATTTTGACATTGTATTTTAATAATTGCGATAAGCCTCGCCCTCTCCCTCTCTCACTCACTCTTTGTCTCTGTTTTGTTGATTTGCTGGAAATCGGACCAGGAAATATCATTAGATAAAAAGGCACCAACAATACGCCAATAACAGCAAACACAAAAACAACAACTAAAACAAAAACAAAAACAAAAACATTAACAAGCATTACAAATTACAAAATGTTGTTTTTCACTTTGTTGCATTTTATTATCGTTGTTTTTGGCCAGCACATTTGCATATCAAGTGAGGCGATGGTGCGGTGGGGCCCAGGGGGTGTGATAAGGGGGTGAGGGGATAGCAAGGGGAATAACTTGACGATCGACTTAGTCAGCCAGCGGATTCAGAATGTCGATATATTTATTGCCGTTTTTGCGCTGTTTTGCTTTGCTCTTATCACACGAGAAGGGAAATTCAAAAGTGATTAATCAATGGGCGAATGAGGCGACTCAAACAGCACTGATAAACTTGTTTTAAGAATGAGCACAGGGATGAGCTTTTGATCTTAATCACACTGAATCATTCTATAAAAAATATGTTTTCCAACACTACTAAACATGCTTTACCTATAGCACCATTTTAAAATCTAATCAGAATATGACTTTGCATGATGCATTTCCGTTTCCTCAAGGAAAGCTGTCTTCGTCAGCTAAATTTATCTAACACATTGAGTCAGCCGTGGAATAAACGTACAGGACGCAGCTTTGACGCAAAAATGAAATATAGATAAAAATGTGTAAATAGCTGAAATGAATTAGATGAATGTTTCATTTTCTGGGATTTTCTCGTTGTTCACATTCATTTTTTATTTTAGTTCAGAATTTTTCATGACGGTTGAAGAAGGTATTGGAAGATCTTGATTAGAAATGCCCACAGTTGACTAATCACCTGCGATAGTGGAACCGCACTCTGACCCATTTTGCCCCCTCTGTATCCACTCGTGGGTTTATTTCAGCTTTAATCGTAAAATGCAATCAAAATAAGTTTGAAACTTGATGCCCGGCCGGCGATAATGGTTTGTAGTCATTTTCCAAACATTCCCTTCGTGAAACACCAACAAATACGGCCATCCAGCAAAACGAAAAATAAAATAAAAAATAAAAATAAAGCTAAAAACCGCTTAAAACAGCTGTCGATTGTGGTTGTTGTGGACTTTACGATGTTGTTGCCGCGCCGGTTGTTGTATGATTTGTACAATGCTCCGGGGCCTGGTCGGTTGTTTTTTATCAGCTGATCTGATGGCAAGATTGTCGCGCTTTGCTTCAAAAATGAGAGAATGAACTCGCCCAACAACAACAATTGTTGTCGTGTGTTTTTCGTTTATAACAATTTGAAGAGATTTTCAGCTAAAGATAAAAATGTCAATGTGATGTGGTTTGTCGGATACAGATAGAGATCCCCAGCTATGACAATATATATAGGGTTTAAAAACTGAATATTGTATGTAGCTATATGTATATATATATACCCGTAACATTGTATAATATATGGCCAGTATCGGAATGATCGATCTCCGCCGTTGAGTTGCGGATTTCCCTTCGGCCATGGCGCGATATCTGGCGAGTTAATTAATTTCCATTCGCCAGTCGTTGCTTACATCTGATATTTGGTATCAGTTTCATTTTCGATTCGGAATCTGATCGAATCGAATCGGCGGGGATCGCATCCGATGAACCTGTAGCGAGCGGCATTCCGGGAGGAATCCATGTCTTCACTGTCGCCGGGGGCGTTGATAGCGGAACATTTTGAATGCCATAAATCTCTGTCAGCGCCTCCTCGAAACGTTCCAATCTAGCTGATAGGCGATGGCTATCGGTAGCCGAAAATTAGAACTGATTTCTATATTCAGTGGGCACTAGCCAAGGGGAAGTTCCAAAGTATTCCTTATCAGCGGCCCACTAACCGGGCGACTGATCGCTCTAGTGTCCATCGATCGGCCGATAGACCAACCGAGCCACAAAAACAAAAGGGAAAGGGGAAGTCGAAGGTCTACTGATAGACCGCATGTTACTCTAATTTATATAATTTCAGTCATTTATTTCTATTAAAAACACTAAAAAGAAACAAATTGCTAATT